TAAGCCCCAAACCCTAACACCCTAAAAGCCAATTCGTGCACCGTTTTAAAGACCCTAAGGCCTAAACCCGCACCCCTATATCCCGATGCGTAGCTCGGGAGGGCGGAGCTCTGTTTGTTGGACTGGACGACCACTTACTAAACCCTCCATCGCAATCCGGGAAGACCTGCACATACCTGAGCTGCAAGAGGGGGAGAGTATAAGACCCGAAGGCATCCTGGCGTAGAAGAGGAGAGATAAATATCGGGGTCGGAACAGTTCCTAACAATATTTCCTTATGGTCCCTTTGTAATTGTACTAAAATAACCCCTAAAACCCTATTCTAATTATTCACACCCCTAAATGAAAACAATCATTTGGCATTTTCCAGGACCTGAATCATTGGGCGCTGTCTTCACTTCAGTCGCACTGTTTTTGTGGATTGCAAGTGAAAGAGTTGCAACACATGAAGCCAATGACAAAGAAAAACGATGCGAGCCCTATTTTGCAGAACTTGCACGGGTGGTTTTCACCATGACTAGCCGGCGCAAAAGTTGCTTGCAGATCTTGTAACCTCCGGCTTCTTCTGAGCAATTATCTGTGTCTACGTAGTCCTTTATATTTCTTCCTTTCTCGTCTTCCAGGTTTTGGTGACTCTTTCCGGTTTGACGTTTTTCTTTCCTGGATGTCTTGCTACACAGACACACGCACACTCATGCGAATTATTCTCTCTCTCTCTCTCTCTCTCTCTCTCTCTCTCTCTCTCTCTCTCTCTCTCTCTAGACATGCCCACGCAAGCATACGCAGACACATAAGCAATATCACGACAATCCACGTAGAAACATCTTTCTCTCTCTCTCTCTCTCTCGCCAGACGTGCCCACGCAAGCATACGCAGACACATAAGCAATATCACGACAATCCACGTAGAAACAGAAATAAATACGAAACGCACACACAGACACACAAAGGGTACATGCGGCCCGCACGCAAAGCCATGAAGTCCCAACAACAACTGGAAGAAACAGAACAAGGGCAGGAGCAGCAACAGAACCAACTGCAAGAACCACCAACACAACGGCCCAACGAACACAAATCAATCCCGTGATTTACCCGACAGCCCCGAAAGCAGTAACGACATCTGCATACAGGTTTGCTTGCTGAGTGCCTTGTCTCAGGTGAATGTCATTCACAACTACAAGATGCCGAAGCTGTTTACATCTATGATTTCAGCAACGCATCTGGAGATGAGTATAACTCGAGACGGCGCGTACTCTGTGGTGCGACGACGAGCAGAGAGTACTTACTCGGACATGAACGCGAAGCCTACTTGCCTGTCTGGTCGCGAGCTTCATTGGCAACATCCTATTTTGCACACACTCGGATTCCGTGGGCGCGTGCCAGGCTTCTTCTCATATTGTTCGGAGCTGAAGTATGTCTTCTGGTCAGACAGCGAGGACGACGCCCGGAAGATGTTCGACGAGTAAGTCTACTGCATGAGGCAAAAAAGGAAATGTGGCTTGTTATAGTAAATTCAATGGAATGCAAGAAGCTATACGTTCCGCAAGGTGCTATGATGACGCGACTGCAGCCTCTTCCTCACGTCACACTGAAGACCTTGACTCACGGAGGCACCTCGACTCGACATGGCGTAATTCATGTGTAAAGCGCTCGCGCAAATTGACTCAAGACTCATGCGATGCATATGTTCCAGATTCCTGCGTGAGGAAGTCAGTCTGAACAAAAAACTAGACACACGTGCAGGTGGTCCCGGCGGACTAGAATGTCTTCCTCCTCTGCGTCTACAACAAATGCGACGGAGTCTACGCCGGCAAAGCCTCTTTGTACGTCATGAAAGCGATCGTGTTTTCTCCAAACAAATACAACATTTGCGGCGCCTGCAAATGAAGGACTAGACGCAGCAGATGGTCGCGGTGGTGTGCACAGCAGTCGTCGGGAACAGAAGCAGACTACGAAGGCGGCGCTCTTCACAATGAGTTGCTGAGCATGCTGCCGGGCATGTGCCTTTCTTATGACTACTCCAAAACACTTGCTACCACGTGCAAGCACATGTACGAGACTGTCAAGAGCTGCGACCACTGGCATGAGAAGACGGTTTGTGTGAATGTCGCCGAGTTCGATGATCCCGGTAGGCTACGTGGTATGAGGCGTGCGTATACTGCAGCAAAGCTTGTGACTCTCAACAACCCAGTCGAAAAACGTCTTCCACCGCACAGACTCAACCCAAAGACGCACAGCCAGCGATCCCGACATCGATCACATCAAGCGCATAAACCCTCACGAAAAAGACCAGCGCATCAGCTTTGACACCAGCTCGCATAAATTCTTCTGGAATTGAGTCCCAGCAAATGCATCGGTCGCGACAACTAATACGTGTCACTTCGCAAACAAATTCGAGCCAAAGCAGCAACAGACATCATCAAAGTAGACAGGTCACTTTCAGCACGTCAAGCATCACGGGTATTCTAAGACAGAAGATGAGAACATACCATATCTTTCCCATCATGTCTGACAGCGTGACTTGAGCACGGGAGAAAGATCGAAGCATGTGATGCACCGCTCCGCACAAGTTGCTATGGGGCACGCTTGCCTCTTGCTGCAATTGGCTTGCTCCGGTGATTTGGTTTGTTGCCGGTTTGGAACTTTGCAGTTGTACTCGAGCCTCGTGCATTAAGATGTTGCGCAATGTTGCGCGTAGGCCTTGCCATTGAAACCCCGCAGAGAGCCATGGCAACGCGTTGGCAGCCTGGGTCTTGCTAAACATTAAAAAAAGCCGCCGCTAGGCGAGGTTGGAGGCATTTTGCGTGTCCTAGTCTTCGGTCATGGTCTTGTCAATGTTCGCCTGCATCCTTCCTCGCTGATGGCTCCAGGTGGTTCAGTGCCTGCAGCTGGGTAGCAATGGACCGATCTCCTCAGAGTTGTGAATCACGCTTCAATAGCTGCTGCAAGCCGGCTTGTATGTTGCGTAGAATGTCGGATAGCTTTCGTCCTAACATGTGTATACATGCTCGTGGGTATGCCGGGTGGCATTGCGTTTCTGGACTCCTGCTGACTTGTCTTCGCTCCGGCCTGACGACAGCTAGCTGTGCCGCAGTATGTTCGGCAAAGGTGCAAGGATTGAGTCATCGGATTCGATTAGTAACCAAAACTCTGCAGGTGCCGCAGTCCTTGTGTGCAGGACAAGACCCTCCGCTGCGCCGAGAGGTCGGCAATTTCTCGGCTCGCAATCATGGCGAAGAAGCGTGGGGAAATTGTTTCCTGCCCGGATGAGTGGGGTTTGGCAGTGCTACCCGCGAAGGGACCTACTCCGAAGGGCACGTCTGCTTTGCAGATGCTCGCAATGCAGGCAGGGCGCCGGATGGCTGCACCTTTGCGAGATTGTCTGTGTCCATCTATCTTGAGAGGAGCTCATCAATTTCTTGATTCCTGCGGGTGGAGGCATGAAAGGAGTCCACGCGGAACGGCCCCAGCCTCAGCCTTGTGCTTTCTGTGTTCGGACTCCGTCGAGTGGCCGTCCTGCTGAATCAGGACCTTCGCGACCGCTCTGCAAAGAGACCGTCTTCATCAGTACATGTTCGAGGACCGCTCGGCGGCCACGTTCCGGGTGCGGAAAGTGCTGGTGCCCGAAAGCGTGCTCTTCGCTGATGCTCCCGACGTGCGGAAGGCAGCGTGTTCACCGCTGGCAAGCGAGGTATGCGTTTCCAGGCCACCTCATGCAGCCACCTCTGTGCCGTGTAATGCGTCAGGACTTCGCCTGCCTCCTGCAGCACGGAAGTACCAGTTTGTGCTGGACTGTCTCCGCCGCAAGATTTTTCTCGGGTGTTAGACGTGTCGCGTTGCCAAGATAATTCTTACCGAAAACAGGCGTTTTGCTTTGGTTTTGGCGCCGTGCCCTGCGTTCGCTGGCTCGAGCATTCATGTCTGCGTGATGACTACGTGCGTGGTACTAGTGCGTGTGAAGGGCCAGAGCATCCATGTTCCCGCGATGATGACGCCCATGCCCGCGCGATGAAAAAGTCTCTGTGTTACGAATGGCCAGAGCATCCATGCCTGCGCGATGACTGCGTCTGTGTTACCAGTGCGTGCGAATGGCCAGAGCATCCGCGTCCGCGTGATGATTACGTCCGTGTTGCCAGTGCGAATGACAGAGCATCCATGTCCGCGGCGATGATTTCACGAAGATCTTTTTCGATAAATTTGGCGCCTGGTTGTTGAAACCGGGCGCAGTGAATGAAGCTCAAATTCAGTTCAGTTTATTCAGTTCAGGAGCCGGCTCTTCTTTGCGGCTTTGTCACGTTCCACATTTCCACAGCAGGCGAGGCAAAAGTGCGAGAAGCTGAAAGGCAGCAGTTGGCATGACTAAGCGGATTTAGGGTAACAATGAAAATACTTCGATAACAAATGCGAATTCAAATGAAAAATAGTCAAAAACTTTGAAGAAATTTGACATGGAAACTCCAACGCATTATTGATAGTTTATTCAAGACATGATGCAATATTACTATCAAGATATTTGGATTTGCAGGTCTCTTGCCTACCCGTACCCAGACACTCGAGAAAGTTTTGCTTGTTATAGAGCTGATTCCCTTTACACATTTCATTGACGATCCCTTCTTCTTCCGGTTACCCGAAGCCACTTGCAGCCAACATAGGTACCGAAGCGGTGTTGCTGCCTCTTGGACCAATTTGCAGTGGAAATTGGATACGCCTCCTTCCAACTTTAAGCCCTCAACCCCCAAGCCACCATTTCCCACGTCCATGCTCCGGCCCTAAAGCTTTTGGTTCTCCAAAACGACCTCCAAAAGGCTTTGAACGTCGAGCCCTTCCTGTCCGCTAGCGGGCCTCTACTTGAAGGGCCATGGTTGGGTATAAGTAGGGTGAGAAGTTATGGGCTGTAGAAGGCTCACGCAGAAGGGTATGCACATGTGTCATCTTGTGTGTCGCATTACCGGAGCAATTTCCGGGTTTAAGGTCTGACATCTTTATAGTAACGGGTTAAGCATGGCAGGAAACTATGGCAAACAGGAAAAGCTTGATAGTGTTTTGGCGCGTTTAGGGTTTAAGGGTCGTTTCCGTGCCTGAATTGTGTGTCGTTGGTGGCCTGTTTCGTTTGTGCTACTTCGTGCAGTTGGCGTGCTCATTATTGTTTGTGTAGTCGCATGGGTCTCATACAAAGAAATAACTAGCCGAAACCAGACGTACAGTCAGGGGGTGGCCTTGTGCAAGGTCGCTGGGGCTCTGGTGGCCAAGCTCCCGGACAGCGCCCGGACACGGATCAGTGCCGTGCCGCGGCTGCACACGAGACCTTCGTAAACCCCCTATTGAGTGCTGGGGGTTTTCGGGCTTTCGGTTCAGTTTTGAACCCTAAACGCTATGCCCCCAACTCTAAACCCTGAAGCCCTAAAGCCCTAAAGCCCTAACGGCCTAAACTATTTGTGGCAGAGGAGACCGGCTGGCCCTCCGACCTCGTTGCTGCTGCCGGGGTGGGCGTGCGCGGTAGCTTGGCGCGGAATGTGCAGGAAAAGGACGGAGTGAAGGTTCAGGACAAATGTAAGGGGCATACTTGGTTAGTTAGGGCATTTGGGTGTAAGTTCTAGTTCAATCTATCGGATATCCGAAGACAGCCATGGCAGTTATCTAGGCTTCTGTAGCATTTCCGGGCGTCGCCCATGGAGTTTGGAACGCATTTTGGCCCCCCGGGGCCTTCACCCGTGCCTCATGAAACCCTAAACGCTAAGGTCTAAGAGCTCTAAACCCCATGAGTAGTGTCGACTTTCCTTTGTTCAAGCCCTTCATCTGGATTTTGCTTAGTATGATTGAGAAGCTTAGGGCACAAAAGCCCCTTACTTGCATTCCACAGGCGTCATCCCTCGCGGGACGCTCTTCGAGCGCTTCATGACCTGCCCCTCCGAACCAACCAGGACCCCCTCGGGGAATCCTTTAGGGTTTAGGGTTTAGGGTTTAGGCTTTAGGGTGTTTAGGGTCCCATCCCGAGCGCTTAAGCGTTGAGCTTTGAATCCTCCGGTTAGCTCCATACCATCTCTCCGATTAGCTCAACAGCCCGAGCCCAAACACACTGCAAAAGCCTGATGGCCTTCACTTGCGAAGGGCAAGCGGGTTCAAGGCTTGGGATTCGGTCTGCAGCGTCAGCGCGAGTCGTCTTGGGAGGAATGGCACCTACCAGTTCTGTGTTGTGGGCCTGGATGTCTCCACGCCGGGCCAGCTGAGGTACATGGCACCTGGGTGGGATCTCAGTCTTCGGGTTTTCTAGGGCTTTCAGAACTTCTATGGGAGGAGATCTGCAGGCGTTAAGGGCTTCAACTGGCTTTCATGGCGGGTTCCGACGTGTTCTTTAAGGCTTTATGTGTGTGTGTGTGTGGTAAGTAGCTTCAAAGTGTAGGTTGCCTGACTTACAGCAATCCTAAACCCCAAGCCCTAGACCCCAAACCCTAAACCCATTTGTCTTATGAACCCTCAAATAGACAAACGAATCTTCATCAGCCTTCTCTGAGCCTTTGGCCTGAGATCCTTTCCACCCCTTTGAAGCAGCAAACGTGTTCAGGGCATGTGGGTTTTCGGGGAATTGAAGGTTGAGGGTTGAGGGTTTTTTTGCCATCATAACTATAGTTTTTTTTTTTTTTTTGGGGGGGGGGGGGGGGGGGGGTGGGGCGGGGGTTAGGGTTCAACGCCTCAAGCACCAACCCTAAGCGCCCGAAGCCCTGATTTTTTAACCCCCAAGCCCTCCAAGCAAGCACCCAGGCTTGGGAGCCCACGGGCTACTTTGACCGCTGGTTCGCCGCCGACGAGGCGGAGCGTTGTTTTTACTCCATGAAGCCTTTGGGTTCTGGTTGGTGCTCGGAGGCAGCTGAGACCCTGGTTGCAGTGGCTACTGTTCTTTAGTTCTTCAGATGGCGGCCCTGGATGTTGTTAATGCTAAGGTTGGGATGCTCCCCCTGTTTGTCATCGTACCCCCGGTATGGAAATCCCTATTAAGGACTGTTAGTATAAGGGGCTATGCCTTCAACCGATAGGCACCCCATCCTTGAAAGAACTTGCGCCCCGTCCGCTCAGGTGGAACTTCGCCTGGCCCTGCAAAAGGCTTCAACCAACTTGGGGCAGGCGAAGGACCCCCCTCTGGCTTGGGACCTTTGAAACTGCTGAGACTGCGCGCGCGTGTAGGTCCGAACCCTGAAGGCCCTGAACCTCTGAACCTCTGAACCCCTGGAGCCCTGAACCCCTGAACCCCTGAACCCCTGAACCCTAAACCCTGAACCCTAAACCCTATAAACCCTAAACCCGAAACCCTCAAGCATCAAGCCCCAAACCCTCCTCCACCCCTTTTTTCAGGACGCAGCCCGCGCCGCGGGGCCGCGGCGCTGGCCGGATGCGGGCGACCCGCATCGGGGCCAAGTGCACAATGGCGGCCCGGCTATGAGAGTAAGAGAGCGTAAGGGGATTTTTAGGTTTAAGAGAGTACAGGGTTCAGGGAAAGGGGAGAGAGCCTATGGGGGTTTTTTTCGGGATTTCTTGGGTCTACTTGTGGCTGCGGTTCAACTAAGAAAAAACGTCTGGCGAAAGCTGAACCCGCAAGCCAGCCCCCCCGAAGGATTGCTGCCGGAGCTCACCGCCACGGGCAGGCCCACGCTCAGCAGCGCCAGCCGGCACCAGCCGAGGCCCATGTGCTCTCTGAGCCCACAAAGCAGCTGTGAGGTGCCAAGGGCCCCAAGTGCGGATGACTCTCCAAGATCTTGAGACGGTTTAGGGTCAAGGGTTTAATGGGTTTAGGGTTTCGGGTTTAGGGTTTAGGGTTTAGAGGGATCCATGCTCAGGACGACGATCGACGTCCTGGAGCCCCTCCTGCACGAGTGGCGGAGGTGCGCGATGCAGTTCGGACCGCCCGACCTTCAAAGGAGTGCTGGAGCATCGGAGGGTTCTCTCTACCCCCCCTCGTCCCCAACCTGGCCCCGTCACAGGCGCTTCCTTCCGACCCTGCGCCTTCGCACAGCCTCCCCAAGGCCCCGGCCTCAGCAGATTGCGACGCTGTGAGGGCTTAACTTACTCCCGTATCATCTGACCCTCCCTTCCTTCCCTTCCTTCCCTTCCTTCCCTTCCTTCCCTTCCTTCCCTTCCTTCCCTTCCTTCCCTTTCTTCCCTTCCTTCCCTTCCTTCCCTTCCTTCCCTTCCTTCCCTTCCTTCCCTTCCTTCCCTTCCTTCCCTTCCTTCCCTTCCTTCCCTTCCTTCCCTTCCTTCCCTTCTTCCTTCCCTTCCTTCCCTTCCTTCCCTTCCTTCCCTTCCTCCCCTTCCTCCCCTTCCTCCCCTTCCTCCCCTTCCTTCCCTTCCTTCCCTTCCTTCCATGTTTTCCCTTCCTTCCCTTGCTTCCCTTCCTTCCCTTCCTTCCCTTCCTTCCCTTCCTTCCCTTCCTTCCCTTCCTTCCCTTCCTTCCCTTCCTTCCCTTCCTTCCCTTCCTTTCCTTCCTTCCCTTCCTTCCTTCCCTTCCTTCCCTTCCTTCCCTTCCTTCCTTCCCGTCCTTCCCTTCCCTTCCTTCCTGTCCCCTGCCTTCCCTGCCTTCCCCCTTCCTTCCCTCCTTCCTTTCCCGTCCCCTCCTCCCGTTCCCCCCGTCCCTCCCTTCCCTCCCTTCCCTTCCTTCCCTCCTCCTTCCTCCTTCCCTTCCCCTTCCCTTCCTTCCCTTCCTTCCCTTCCTCTCCCTTCCCTTCCTTCCTTCCTTCCCTTCCTTCCCTTCCTTCCCCTTCCTTCCCTTCCTTCCCTTCCGTCCCTTCCTTCCCTTCTTCCCTGCCTTCCCTGCCTCCCTTCCTTCCCTCTTCCCTTCCTCCCTTCCCTTCCCTTCCTCTCCCTTCCTTCCCTTCCTTCCCTTCCTTCCCTTCCTTCCCTTTCCTTCCTCCTTCCTTCCCTTCCTTCCCTTCCTACTTCCCTTCCGTCCTTCGCTTCCCTTCCGTTTCTTCCCCTTTCCTGCCCTTCCTTCATCCCTTCCTTCCCTTCTTCCCTTCCTACCTTCCCTTCCTAATCCCTTCCGTCCCTTCCTTCCCTTCCTTCCCTTCCCTTCCCTTTCGTCCCTCCTTCCCTTCCTTCCTTCCTCCCTTCCTTCCCTTCTTCCCTTCTTCCCTTCCTTCATTCCTTCCTTCCTTCCCGTCCTTTCCTTCCTTCCCTCCTTCCTTCCCTCTGTCTCTCTGTCTCTCTGTCTCTCTGTCTCTCTGTACTCTCTGTCTCTCTGTCTCTCTGTCTCGTCTGTCTCCATCTGTCTCTCTGTCTCTCTGTTCTCTGTCTCTCTGTCTCTCTGTCTCTCTGTCTCTTCTGTCTCTCGGTCTCTCTGTCTCTCGTCTCTCTGTCTCTCTGTACTCTCTGTCTCTCTGTCCTCTCTGCTCTTCTGTCCTCTCTGTCTCCTCTGTCTCCTGTCTCCGTTTGTCTCTCTGTCTCTCTCTGTCTCAAAGAATCTCTGTCCTCTCTCTGTCTCTCCTGTCTTCTCTTCTCTCTCTGTCTCTCGCTGTCTCTCTCTGTCGTCCCTCGTCTCTGTCTCTCCTCTTCTCTCTCTGTCTCTCTCTTTCTCTCTCTGTCCTCTCTGTCTCTCTCCTGTCTCTCTCTGTCTCCTCTGTCTCTCTCTGTCTCTCTCTGTCTGCTCTGCTGTCTCTCTCTGTCTCTCTCTGTCCCCTCTCGCTGTCTCTCTCTGTCCCTCTGTCCCTCTCCTCTGTCTCTCTCTGGTCTCTCTCTGTCTCTCTCTGTCTCTCTATGTCCTCTCTCTGTCTCTCTCTGTCTCTCTCCTGTCCTCTCTCTGTCTCTCATCTGTCCTCCTCCTGGTCTCTCTCTGTCTCTCGTCTGTCTCTCATCTGTTCTCTCTCTCTGTCTCTCTCTCTCTCTCTCTCTCTCTCTCTCTCTCTCTCTCTCTCTCTCTCTCTCTCTCTCTCTCTCTCTCTCTCTGTCTCTCTCTCTGTCTCTCTCTCTGTCTCTCTCTCTGTCTCTCTCTCTGTCTCTCTCTCTGTCTCTCTCTCTGTCTCTCTCTGTCTCTCTCTGTCTCTCTCTGTCTCTCTCTGTCTCTCTGTCTCTCTGTCTCTCTGTCTCTCTGTCTCTTTGTCTCTCTGTCTCTCTGTCTCTCTGTCTCTCTGTCTCTCTGTCTCTCTGTCTTTCTGTCTCTCTCTCTCTCTTTCCTATCCTCCTCCTCCTCCTCCTCTTCATCCCGACCCAGCTTACGGTCGAGGCATTTTGCCTTTGGGATAGTACCCCTAAACCCCAAAACACCCAAACCCTAAAACCCCCCAAAACCCTGAAAACCCTAAAACCCTTAACCGGCACTAACCCCTAGGCTACAGTGGAACCCCAAACCACGTGCCTAAGCCCACCTGTCGGAGGCTCCTCGTCTTCGACAGCAGTGGGCGACTTGCCCGCCATCTTCAGGAGACTTCTGCTGGGGCCGCGGGGGGCCTTGGGTTGCGGGCTGGGCTCTAAGAAAGAGGGGGTTTTTAGTAAGTACATCTTGTCTTTATTAGTCTTTATATACATGGATGTATACATATATGTGTATGTATATATGCACAACCACCATCTAGAAAAAAGGGGGTTGAGGAACGGAGCCGCAGAGCGTGAGACGGACAGGAGTCGTTGGACGACTTTGAGGTCGTCGCCGCGGACGACCGCACCGTACCCAAGCCCAAGCGCCACTCCCTAGGCGACAGGGTCCGTAGGGCTTCAGGGTTGCGGGGTGTTGGGAAATTCGGGGCTGCGAGTCTAGAATTAGAACGATTCTCAGCACAGTTTCTCGGCGAGGGCTGGGGACGGAGGGTGCTGCAAGGCAGACCTGGATTACCAGAGGAGTCAATTGCAGCTTGAGCCATCTGGAGTTCGAGTTTCTTTTTGGGCTCAGGGACTTGTGCCGCTGTTTCCCTAAACCCTAAACCCCAAGTAATCCCAAAACCCTTCAACCCGAAGCATGGCGACCTCCGACTCTGGCGACTCGGGTCCAGGATCCCTGCGCGAGAAGGCCCACTTCGAGGTCAAGGAGGACGCCAGGGCCACAACTCTTGACGAGGGCTTCGCCTCTGTGAGGCTCTGGATCAGTATGAACCCGAAGCCTCAACATCCGTTAAACACCCGATAGCTTACCACCCTTAAGAGGGATTTCAAGGGTTTTCAGAAGCCTTCTCTCAGGCCCTGAAGACGTCCCCGCCAGCGCTCAATGCTAAAGCGGAGGCAGCCGGTCTCACGGGGGCTCTTGAATTTAGGACTTTCTGGCTTTATTGTTGTTCCTACAACCCCCTTTACACTCAGATCATAGACGGCTCAAACTAGACCCAAGACTTTGAAACCACCCTAAACACTAAACCCTAAACCCTAAACCCTAAACCCTAAACCCTAAACCCTAAACCCTAAACCCTAAACCCTAAACCCTAAACCCTAAACCCTAAACCCTAGACTTTGAGAAGCCCGCATCTTATCCTGCTTGCTTTTGAAGCCGGCGCTTTTTGTGTGCAGGCTTTCGACGTCATCCTGGTGCCTTTCGCGCTGCAGAGGCGAGAAAAACTCCTGAGATGAAGATTGGGTTTAGGGTTTAGGGTTTAGGGTTTAGGGTTTAGGGTTTAGGGTTTAGGGTTTAGGGTTTAGGGTTTAGGGTTTAGGGTTTAGGGTTTAGGGCTTCGGGTTTAGGGTTTAGGGTCGTTGTGAGGTGGGGCTCATGAGTCAGAAGCACCCTTTGTGCGCACTCACGCTCTACTCGTACTTTTGGCTGCCCACGAACAATACCCCTGAATACGGTGCCCTGTCTCGGCATCCTTCTTCTGGTTTCAGCGTGACAAAGTGGTCCAATCTTGGAATCCGATTTCTTTATCCCCACGTGCAAACATCCCTTGCTCTTGCTTTAGGACACCAATGTGTGGAAGACATTGATGAGAAGATTCGTCTTCTTAATGCCATGATTGCGGCTTACGAAGCTAGCTGTACATCTCTGAGAGCAACAGCTCTTTCCGGAATCATGACAGAAAACCCTGAACCCTGAACCCTAAGCCAGAAGACCGCAAACCTCGAACACTCTCAACTTTTCTGGTCCTTCACTTGATTCGTCTCCTCTATGCGGTGCCTTTGGTGAGTGTATACGGTTACTTTTAGTTGTTGGTGTGTGTAAATTCGTAAACCTGTCTATATATATATATACACAAAATATGTTTGTTTGTGGGTTGTTTTTGGGGTTTAGGCTTCAGGGTTCAGGGTGCGAGGCTGCCGACGCGTAAAAATCTACACCCTGAACCCGAAACCCTATCCTGTAACCCCTAAACCCTAAACCTAAACCCCCCACCCACCCACCCACCCGGCCAGCCCACTTTGCAGGCTTTGCTGGGGTGAAGAGCACGCCCTGTTGAGCCTCTGGAGCCAAACTAGTTTGCTGGTTTGCTGTTCGATGTAGAGGTATAGGGCTGATGCATCGCATTCTGGATGCTGCAGTTGACAATTCTTTTTTAGCCTGTAGAGTTTAGGGTTTAGGGTAGGGTTTGGGTTTTTTTGGGGTTTGGGGTTTAGAGGTTCAGGGCTTCGAGCCCTCGGTTGGCAAGGCGGTAAACTACACGTTCTTGGGGCAACCTTTTGTGTAAAGGGGCTATAGTTATAAGTTATAAGGCACATCCGGCGATTTCAGGCCAAATCTTGAGGCCCCCCCCCCCCCCCCCCCCCCTTCACAATTTCCTGGTGAGTCGGGTGGGGAAGAGAGGCTTGAAGCCTCGCGCCGCCCAAGAAGGACAACAAGCCTTGATGCAAGCCCTAAACACGCACCAAAACCCTTCGAGGCGAAGCCGCCTTTAATCCCCCCCCCCCCCACACCCATTTACGTGCAGGAGGGAGGGCCTGCGCTGTGCCGCATCGCACCTGCTCCTGGCAGAGGCACCTTCATGAACACTGCGTCTCAGAGACCTGTGTGCAGTCTCCTTCGCCGGGTGAAACTCCGCTCGGCCCCGGCCTACTGGGATGATAGGTTCCAACTCCATGAGTTGCCTCGTTTAGAAACCTCGGAAGAACCCTAAGCCCCTCAACCCTTAACCCTATCAACCCTGTCAACCCTGTCAACCCTGTCAACCCTATCAATCCTATCAACCCTATCAACCCTATCAACCCTCTCAACCCTCTCAACCCTCTCAACCCTATCAACCCTATCAACCCTATCAACCCTATCAACCCTATCAACCCTTAAACCCTATAAACCTTTAAACCCTAAGCCCTAATTAACTAAGCCCCAAGCCCCAAGCCCTAGAGCGAACGCAGAAGTTGCCCGGAGCCCAGCGCAGGAGTTCGTGGACCCGGCCGAGGAGGCGCTGGCGCGGTGGAGAGCCGTGCTGCAGGCCGTTGGGGTGTGTCGGGTTTGTATGGTTTGTAGGGTTTATAGGGTTCATAGGGTTTATAGGGTTTTAGGTCAAGAGAACACAGGGTTGTATGGTTTATAGGGTTTAGGACTTATAGGGTTTTAGGTCAAGACAACCCGGGGTTGCTTTATAGGGTTGTTGAAAGGGGGGGGGATCAAGGGAGGGGGGGGGGATCAAGGGAGGGGGGGGGGTACGTAACCCAACATTCCCTAACACTCCCCATTCCTCCCTAAGACGCCCTGAGAGCTTGCCGAAGGTTCCCTAGGTACCTACCCCCCATGAACCCCCCCTCCATGAAATTCCCTCAGCCTAAACCCTAAACCCTAAACCCTAAACCCTAAACCCTAAACCCCAAACACTCAACCCTAAACCCTAAATTGCCAAGGGGGGCCCTAAGTTTGGAAGACGGAGTGCCTGCCACGGTCATCCTTGCAGCGAGGGCGACTGGTCCTCAACGATCCTCCTCGAAGGAGCACTCCCTGGCTGCGAGGCGGCCTTCTGCCACCGAAATCAGCATGCTGTAATAATATAGTACGTCTATAACAATACAACAAAGCACTAGGATGGTACTATAATACTGGCACCATAATCAGATGAATAGGATAACAGAGGCCCAAATGTGGTCAGAGTGCAAGTTGAGTCATGCAGCCCGCGATGATCGCTCCATGCACCGATATGGTGATACAATGCTATGGTAATCCTATAATCGCACTGCAATAATATTACTGTAACAATATATTCTCGCACTATAGTACTGCAATATTAATATTATTATTATAATACTAGAAGAGTACTAGAAAAAGATGGACAATATCATATCACAATGATAATCGTGCTATATATATGTATATGTATATGTATGTATATATATATATATATACATACATATATGTGATTCTAGAGGGTGAAGCTTCACGTTCGCAGCGTTTCAGCGCTCGAGGCCCTTTTGCTGAGCCCGCTGGGGCCCACGTTAATGAAGCCCTGTCCTATGCCTTGCATGTAAAAGACAGAAAGAAGCCGCCATGTACGGCTGGATTCAAGAAACGATTGAAGCTCTCGTCTTGGAGAAGTTTGGGAGCGAAGTCTGGGAGAAGGTGAAGCTGGAGGCCGGCTTGGCTTCCATCCCGACCGGGGGCTTCGCAAGGAATGAGTACTACGATGACGCCATCACCATGAATCTTGTCAAGGCCCTCTGCAAGGTGAGGAAGCTGGAGATGGAGAGTGCCCTCATCCTTTTTGGGGAGTTCTTCATCTCCTGGCTGATGGAGCATGGATACGGGAGCATGCTCCGGAATCAAGGGTCGAACATGTTTGAGTTTTTGACCACGGTGGACGATTTGCACAAGGGCCTCCAAAAGGGATTGCCCGAGCTCGTGCCCCCCCGAATGATCTGCACGAAGGGTGGCGATGCGACGCTGCGCGTCGAGTACATCTCATGCCGGAGCGGTCTGGCACCAATGGTTATCGGCATGGTCAGGCAAGTTGGTCGGCAGTTGTTCCAGAGCGACTACAGCTGCACGATGGAGGCTCAGAAGCAGTCTCGGGGCGAAAATGGCGAGGCATTGGAACACACCTTCTTGAAGATCGCCTGCGTCAGCGGCCGGGCACTGGACCAGGCACTCATCCAAGCATCCGACCTCGAGGAGCCCGACTCCTTCGACGTGGACTCGGAATGCTCCCTTAAGAGCTCGGCAAGGGAGACTTTGTCATAGTTGACGTTTTTTTTTTTTTTTTTTTTTTTTTTTTTACATTTTTAAGGGTACTTAAACCCAACGAGGAATATAAATTTAGATTTTTTCATACTGTCCCAACCATGAACTAGGAGAGTCAGGATTACGACTTCCTCCAGCAGAACCCCACCATGGCGGGTGCCTTTGCTCACATCCTGGTGGAGCGCGTGAAGCTCTTAGACTGCCCGCTGAAGTCCCAGCACTTTGGGCACAACTTCGAGTTTGCGCAGCTGATGTCGCTCATGGCGTCCTACACCCCAGAAGCCGCTGTGGCGCTCTCAGGGCTCTTCCGCCAGCCGCTGAGAGACCCGACGAAGTCCACGCCCGTGCCGCGACACGCGTGCATCTCCGGACCCGGTGGAAGGGATGGGCTGTTCACGAAGAGCTACGACACCATTGTCATGAACCCGGGGATCTTTTCTGGGCATGACCCTTTGTTGCGCTTGACGGCTGGAAAGGGCTGCAGGCAAGTGCCTGTCGAGCTCCGTGTGTGCGTCATTCCGGATCCTTTGCGGAGCGGACTGATGCTGAAGTCTCTGGCCACCACTCCAAATGATGCTGTTCTGGCCACCCTGGCGGCACAGGCGTTGCTTGACGCTGCGTGGGCCCTAACAAGAAGCCGCAAGATTTTCGACATCGCTTGCGAGTCCATCATCCTTCTCTTCACCTGTGGTTGGATCTTCTTCCGGGAGCACCGGGGCTTCTGGCCATGTTTGGTGTTCTGCCTAATGAAGGAGCTGGTGGAGAAAGGCATGGAGACTGTGCGCTCTTGGAAGAATGGCTGGTCGGTGCCGCTTGTCTTAGTGGCTGGAACAGCACTGAACATTACGCTTTACGTGCTCCTGGTCTACCAAGCAATTCTTAGCGAAGAGTACCCAAGTGATCGAATGGGGCAGATAGCCATCGCAGTTTTCGGCTGCACACGCTGGTGGTCCCTGCTTGCACACCTCCGGGGCTTCAAGGCAATTGGCTCTAAGATTTTGCCAATCCTGTATCTGGGTTGTTGTTGGAAATCCTTTTCTATTTGCACTGTAATTTTTATTTATTAGTTCTTCTTATGAAAGCAGTAGGGAGTACTAAACGGATTGGTTTCACTACGGTTCTCACTGGGGTAGAGGTATGCTTTGGGAAGCATGGGCCCTTTTCTGCTTGTCTTCGGGATTATCATGCTTGGCTTCCTCTCGTCCTTCTGCGCCCTTTCAGACGAAGCCCTGACCATGACACGTGTTCGTGGTATCTATTTCTTGGCTATGCTTGGTGAAGAGGGCGACACTGTACTTGATGGTGAAAGGGAGGAGTGGTGGTTGGACAGTTGGGTCTTCCTCTTTGTCGTTGTGATGTGCTTGGTGCTTCTCAACATCTTGATCGGCATTCTAGGCGAGGCCTACGACATGTATCGGGACAGCTCCGAGGTAATCTTCAGTCGGGAGCGAGCGCGCGTGACTCTCAGCATCACCATGCGCCTCTTGCCCATGACATGGCCAGAGCACCGTGTGGGAATTTGTGGCAAACTGCAGCGACTCCTCCTGTCTGTGTTCACAGAAAACACATGCGGACGCCATAAGAAGTACTTGTGGGCCGTTGTACCGCAAGATCGCAGCTTGAATGTTGCGCGGATCACGTCCATGAAGGAACATGTGTCTCATGAAAGCGAGCGTGCCGTCAAAGCCCTCACGGCCATTCATCAGCGCTTGGAGCAGTTGGAGCTAGATTGGCAATATCTGAAGCATTCACCGGTCAAGTGCCCCTTTTCTGGTGCACCTCTTGCGTCTGGATGCCAGCCTCCGGATGTCCACAAGCGCCCGGATGCGCCTGGCAGATAGCAGTTGTTGTGATGATTTTCATGCCAAAGGCACCCCAAAAAAACCCTCTGCAAAGGAACTCAGGGGGGCTGATTTTCAGAACTCAAGGCTCTTTAAGCAAAGGGGCCCAACAACTTCTCAAAGGAATTCAAAATCCCCCAGGCACTGGCGGTACCTCTCAACAGGGATGTCGCCGTAAAGCTGTAAATCTGCTGGAACATCTCCCGTTGCAGCGCGAGCGCCAGGGCCAACTGAAAGTGAAAAGGTGTGTGTGTGTGGTTGACTCCCGCTCAGCCTTGCTCTCCATGAGTGCGACATTGTAGAAGAACGGTGGTGCAGGCTCCCTTCTCCCTTCTTCTTCTCCTCCTTCTTTTCACGCCGGTTGAATCGGCCCCTTTATTGCTTGAGGGCAGAGTCTGTCACAAGAGAGTTCAGGGGGCACCCGGTCGCCACTATGACCTTTTTCGTCCCCTGAATGTCGTATGAAGTGCGCCGGCTGCGCCTTCCAGCTCTCAGGGCCAGGCCTCAGCCCCACAAACGCCCCTCCCCGGTTCCCGCCCTTTGCGTCCTCAAGTGCCACTTAAATCCCTCAAGTCCCAAGCCCCTAAATCCTTAAACTCGAAAACGCCCCTGAAGCCTTGTAGGCCCTTTTTTCAATGTAATTGTTGTTCCTGTTGTGACACTCTTCTAAGCTAGGTGTGACTTTACTACAACTTGATCACTTTACAAGTTTAGGGTTCTTTTAGTTTCATATTAAGGGAGCTAAACGTTAAGCTTTTATTGGGGGGTTAAACAGCCAAACACCCCCCAGAAAACCCTCAGCCCCTGACCCTAAACTCTAAACCCAAAACCCAAAACCCTAAACCCCAAACCCCAAACCCTAAACCCTAAACCCTAAACCCTAAACCCTAAACCCGAAATCCCCCCAAGGGCTCGCGGTGGTAAGATTCTTCCGAGCCATGGGAGCCAAGCTTTGCGCCGCGGAGGAGGGGCTCACCAGCGCGCAGTCCACCGTGCATGAATGCCGCTTCCCCCTCTGGGCTGTGAGGTGGGGTTGGGGGTTTGGGGTTTAGGGTTTAGGGTTTAGGGTACCCCATCAACCTGGGACCCCGTAACCGGTAAGGCCTCAACCCTATAAAGCCTCAGCCCTTGAAACCCTCAACCCCATAAACCCCACAAACCACATGAACCCTCAACTCTTTAAACCCTCTAAACCCCTCTAAACCCTCTAAACCCTCTAAACCCTCTAAACCCTCTAAACCCTCTAAACCCTCTAAACCCTCTAAACCCTCTAAACCCTCTAAACCCTCTAAACCCTCTAAACCCTCTAAACCCTCTAAACCCTCTAAACCCTAAACCCGAAACCCTGTTGAGGGTGGCCGACTTCCTGAAGATGCGGGGCCCTCCCGAGCACCACGAGGCCCTGCGAGAGCGGGGCTTGCTGCAGAAGTGGGAGCCGAGCATGTTCGTGATCCTCGGGCTTCTTCTGTGGGGAGGATTGTTTTAAGTTTTTCGTGGGGCTTGGGGATTTCTTTGCCAGGGATGGCTTCTTCTTTGGGAGGATTTTATGTTTTTGTGTGGGGCTTGGGAATTTCTTTTCCAGGGATGGCTTCTTCTTTAGGAGGAATTTCTACTTTTGTGTGGGGCTTGGGGAGTTTTGAAGGGATTGAGGGGTTTTTGGGGGGGGTGGAGGCTCTTGGGTTTCGGGCTTGCTGAGGGCTTCGGGCTTAGGGTGCAGGGGTTCGGGGATTTAATTCCAAGGATCTTCGTCTCGCACCAATGGCTCAGCTCTGTACATCCAGACCCAGAGGGTGAGAAAGTGAAGCACCTCCAGCAGACGCTTCTCGGTCTGATCGACGGAAGTTTGCCGGTGGCCGAGGACATTGTCTCCCGATCGGACGACAAGAGTCTGTCACCCAACGTGCGCCGACGCATTGCCGATGGCTTTCTCTTCTTCGACTGGTTCTCCATACCCCAAAACCTGCCCCAAGAGCGCGGGCCGAATGAAGATGCTGCCTTGGCTGTTCAGAGCATCCCGGCCTACGTGGAGCTCTCGAACTTCTTCATCGCCTTCGTGCCGGCGCTGACGCACAAAGACTCGTCGGAGCCGGTGAACTACGCCACGTGGCTGTCCAGGGGGTGGCCTGGCCGGTGCTGGGAGTTCCAGTGGTTCTAGAGCTTCAAATAAATAAATAAATAAACAAAGAAAAAACAAATATACATATGTGTCGATATACTATATATATATATATATACACATGTATATATCTATGTGTGCATGTGTGTATGTACGTATATACATATAGTTATATATACGACTTGCACATGTTTTACATGTAGGTAAGATATACAGTATAGCGTAACAAGCATATACGGAATCTTTATAGAATCGAACACACACACACACAGACATATATATATATATATATATATATATATATATATATATGTACACATGTATGTATATATCATATTATATATGTAATATACATACATGTATATATGCACATATCTGCATGGCTCTTCTGTTCAAAAAGAGAAAGAAAGCTGGCCTTGGAGAGGTGGTGCCGCGCCGAGCTCTGGTGCCGGCTCCTCAGCAACAAGGCCGACACCTCCGTGGTCGTCGCGTACTCCAAGACCGAGGCGGAGTTCCTCTCACCGCTGGACTGGCACAACAACAGCCGCTTTGCTTTGCATGAAGCGCAGCTCTAGGGGCGGTTTTTGTTAGCCATTGTATATATATATATATCTATATCTGTATCTGTATCTGTATCTGTATCTATATTTATATATCTATATCTATATCTATATCTATATATATATATATATATACATGAATGCATGTTATGTACGTAGCTCCGGGCCGGTTTTTGGGGAGGTGCTTCAGGAGTTCCACAGCATGGGGAGAACCGGTCGTTTTCAGCTACTCTCTGTTGTGTGGTCCGTGTGACGATCCTTCCGAGGCATCGTGGAGGGCGAGTTCACGGTGGAGGCCGACCGGGCCGCGGTCGTCCGCCTCGGTGAGATGGCCGTCGAAAGCAAGATCCGGCATCTGCAAGAGAAGGGCCCCTTGAGCCACTATCGCCTCTACTCTGCCCTTCGCCCGCATCTCCTCCGCCAGCAGCGGAAGGAGCGAGAGATTGAGGAGTTTCTGGGGCAGTTCTGCTTCGACGGCTGGATGGAAGCAGTGCAAGACAGCAGCGGCATGAATGCCGTCATGTGCGCCGTGATGTCGGGCGACACCGGAATCTTGCAATTGCTGGCTCAGAGTCGAGCAAACATGAACCACACCCTTCAAGGTATGGGAGACTTGGGATATTACGACACCCAGACAGTGCTCATGGCAGCAACGAAGTCGCGGCAGGATCCCTCTGTGCTGGCAGCCCTGATCGAGCTTCGTGCCGACGTCAACGCCCGTGCCAGAACAGGCCTTGTTGCCCTTTGTATGTCCCGATCACCCGCGCACGTGAACGTTCTCTTGGAGCACCGCGCTGACATGCCCCACTTCGTGCTGACGTGTGTGTCCTCCTTTGCGTGCCCAGACACGGTTCAAGCGCTTCTCGCGCATCGGTGTGACCCAAATCAAACAGGAGATCCCAGTGTTGGTCCTGGATACGGGGCGCTGCACGCCGTGGCTTTATTCTCGCGCAGAAACCGCAGAGCCGTTGACACGGCAAAGTTGCTACTGGCACACCATGCTGACATCAATGCGCGCAAGGAGATCTCCGGAATCTTGCTGAGGCAGCAACTTTCCCTCCCACCGTCCAAGTGCAAACATGACGAGCCCTAAGCACCCTAAACCCTGAACCCCTAACCCAAACCCTAAACCCTAAACCCTAAACCCTAAACCCTAAACCCTAAACCCTAAACCCTAAACCCTAAACCCTAAACCCTAAACCCTAAACCCTAAACCCTAAACCCTAAACCCTAAACCCTAAACCCTAAACCCTAAATCCCTGCAGCAGACCTTCAGACCCCCAGGCAGAGAAGGGCCCCAGGCGATCCTTTAATCTCCCAGCCCCTGGAGGCAGCACTGGGCTGCGCGGATCCAGATGGGCCTCTTGGGCTTCTCCAACTGCCACTTGGGAGAACCCAAGAGCGTTTGGGGGTTTAGGGTTTAGGGTTTAGGGTTTAGGGTTTAGGGTTTAGGGTTTAGGGTTTAGGAGTTTAGGGTTTAGGAGTTTAGGGTTTAGGTGTTATGCTTGAGGGTGAAACCCCCTAAACCCCAAAAACCCTGAACCTCATACCTCTAGATGAAGGTTGAGGAAACCCTAAACCCTAAACCCTAAACCCTAAACCCTAAACCCTAAACATATGGTTTCAGAGCCCAAGAAGCTGACCCCACCTCGCGGGCGCCCGAGGCAACATGGTGATCCGCCTTAGGGCCTCCATGGCAGGCTTATCCCCGCTGGGATATGCAGCCATGGTCGGCCACCCGGGATGTTTAGGGTTTAGGGTTTAGGGTTTAGGGTTTAGGGTTTAGGGTTTAGGGTTTAGGGTTTAGGGTTTAGGGTTTAGGGTTTAGGGTTTAGGGTTTAGTGCTGTAGGGCCTCCTACAGAGTTGGGGGGGATGTCTGGGATGTCAAGACCATGTAGAAAATCCAGGGCTCAGCTTGTTTTCCTTTGTTGGCTGGCGGAAGAATCCTTGTGAGAACGACCTTCAGCCTAAACCCTAAGCCCTACGCCCAAAACCCCAAACCCTAAACCCTAAGGCCACGAACAGCTGACGCAGCTTTACTTGGAGCGCGGGGCGGACCTGCTACCAAATGAACGCGGCGACTCTCCAGAAGACCTGGCGCGGAAGAACCACCACGACCACCTGCTGCCCATGTTGGCCACCCGCAGTGTCCAAGTTTAGAACCCCCTAGCCCTAAACCCTAAACCCTAACCCCTAAACCCTAAACCCTGAACCCTGAACCCTGAACCCTAACGCCTAAACCCCTAAACCCCTAAAACCTTAGAGACCCTCATCCGCAAAGACCATGCTGCTCTGCCATCCTCAGGCTCCCAAAAGGACCCTGAGGATGGGGCAAGTTTCTGACTGCTCATGAGGCATCCCTGACCTTGGGGGGAGCTCATGAATGAATCGTCGGAACTCCAAACCCAAATTTTTTTTGGGGTTTGGGGTTTGGGGTTTGGGGTTTGGAGTTTAGGGTTTAGGGTTTAGGGTTTAGGGTCCCAAGTTATCCCAAGTTGTTCAGGGTTCAGGGAAGTTGAGGGTTTGGTCCCCCTTTCATGGCACACTTTCCGGGGATCAGGAGCGAAGCTTTGGGGTGGTGTTGGGGGGTCTTCCCTTTCTGCCGAGTTTCGGGCTCAGGCGCATGCCGAGCCCTAGAAGAACCCTAAAAACCCACATCCCGCGAGTCTAGGGTTTAGGGTTTGGGAGGGGTTCGAAGGACTTGACATGCGGCAAAGGCCTCTTTCCGTTCAACCCGAACCGACGCCAAACATACCCCAAACTAAACCGTAAACAGCAAACCCTAGACCCGCAACCCTAAGCCCTGAACCCCATAAAGAAACCGGGTTGCAGTTCCTAATATGGTTTAGGATCCATTGTCGTCTTTTGACCCCAAGCCCCCTCAAATTCCCCCCCCCCCCCCTCCCCACAAAAGTATCGGAACAATGTGCTGCAACATGAGAACAAGACTTCCTGTGTCTTTAGTTGAACTTCAAACTTTTTGGGATTCCTTATGTAGTAGGAATATGAAGGTTTAACCTTTTTCCCCCCTTGGTTTTTGGAGAAGTAAGAATATAGCATTACTCGTATTTTTTTCAGAGATAGCAGCAGAACATAGCACAGTACAATGTATCCATACGCTCTTCATCATGGCTTCCGGAAGGTCCCGGACCACTTCCTGTCCAAAGCCTCAGGGCCCACGGAAAGAAGGCGGCGCAGCAGAGGGCGAACTTCCGAACCCTAAACTCCCCGCAAACCGGGGGTTTAGGGTTATGGTTTGGGGTTTAGGGTTTAGAGCCTAGCCCCAAACCCCCCAAAACCCTAAACGCCCCAAACCCCAAAACTCCCCGAAACCCCGAAGCCCCCCAAACCAGAGGGCGGGGGAGTGAGGAAAGTTAGGAGACTGGGTGTTGCAACTGCAGTCCTAGACGGATTTTTGGGAGTCCTTTGGGGCTCCTTCGCTAGGTTGCGGGATCATAACTTACAAATGGGTTTCCAGGGGATACGAAGTGCACTTACTAAGTCAAAAGGGGCTTCCAAGAACCCCCTAAACCCGACTTCGACGGTGCTTGAAGGCTGCACATGTTCATGTTTTGGCTTCAAGGTCTTGAGCAACTGAGCAACGGGGGGGGGGGGGGGGCATTGGAATGCAGCTCGCACTGTCGCATGTGGGCAGCTTTTTTTTTGTTTTGTTTTGCCGTTTTGGCTCGCTAGACCCGCAGTAGACCCCTTATTTTATGGGAGCCCCAGAGTGGGTACCCCCCCCCCCCATTTTCGGAAAGCCCCCTTTTGTTCTGGGTCGGATACTAGTCCGGCTTCCTCCCTGCGTTATTTCAGATTGCAGTGCCTTGCGCCTTTCAATTTCGGGTCTGAGTTGAAGATGCTGCCTTGGGATCTGGAGGTTCATCAGGAGTCTCACCCTAGACCTCCCTCTGCTCACTCCAGCCCCTTCATCACACGGCGACCACCCCTGAACTTCAGCACCCTATGGAGCCCCGGCACCTTTGCTAGCATTCTTCCAGGGTTCGGGTAGTCTCTTAGGTATCTCATTGTGGATGCGTCTGCTTTCCTGGACCGAAGGGAGGCACGACCTGCGGTGGTGGGTCGATCATGGCTTTGTTAGTATTGCTTCGCAAGCAATCTTGGTAATGCTATGTTGTGTTACATTGTCTTGTGTTGCACTCTGATTGTACATAAACAAGCTGTACAATGCTAAGTTGTACTACATTGTATCTAACGTCGTCGGATTATGTTTTGCGATTTCTTGTACGCCGATTAAATGCTCGCGTTGAACGGGTGGTGTCAGGCTTCCTACTGTCAGGTGTGCAGGGCTTAAGCTTCAGGGCTTAGGGGTCCAAGTATGCAAATGTGCTTGCACGCTGATGCGAGTAGAGCCATCTAGGGCTTGGCCGGATGAGACCCAAACCTGAGGGGGCAGCGCCCCTCCCAAGTTTCAAGCAGTCCTCAGCCCGGAACCCCTAGCCCGAAACCGAAGCCGTAAGCCCTAGAGGCCGAGGCACTCGGGGCTTAGCCCAGGGTATGCAAGAATCAACACAGCTCCTGGGCGCAAGGGACGCGGAGGGCCGCCGCCCAAGATGGGCGGCCGGAGCCGAACGACACAGCTTTCCTGAGGAGGGTTTAGGGTTTTGGGTTTTGGATTTAGGGTTTAGGGCTTTCCTGATAGCTTTGCGCCGGCGATGATGCGCCCGTTCGAATTGCATGTGGGGCTCGGGTTTCTTTTGCTGCTATTGGTGAGTGTATTCAGGGTTCCTCAAATATTGGGTGAGTGTATATCTACTGGGTGTCCTTCTGGGCATACTCGCAATAAGAACCATGCTTCAGGTGGGGTTCGACCATTGTAACTTGGGTTCGGCCGGTCCACACTAACAGTCAAATAACGCCGTGGCCTTGTAACACACAGGCCAAAAATAGCACCAGGAATCCCAGTCAATTTTAGCATTTACCGGGTGCTTCTTTTTGTGGGTCTGCTGGTGGTGACTGTTAGTCACATAGCAGCAGAAATAGCACCAGAAATAGCACAAACAATAGCACAAAAAATAGCACCAGAAATAGCGCCAGGAATAGTACAAAAAATAGCACCAGAAATAGCACAAACAATAGCACCAGAAATAGCACCAGGAATCCCAGTCAATTTTAGCAGCTTAGCATTTACCGGGTGCTGTTTTTTGTGGGTCTGCTGATGGTGATTGTTAGTCACATAGCACCAGCAACAGCACCAGAAATAGCACCAGAAATAGCACAAACAATAGCACAACAAATAGCACCAGAAATAGCACAAACAATAGCACAAAAAATAGCACCAGAAATAGCACCAGGAATAGCACAAAAAAATGCACCAGAAATAGCACCAGGAATAGCACCAGGAATAGCACCAGGAATAGCAGGAATCTCAGTCAATTTTTTGGCATTTACCGGGTGCTTTTATTTGTGGGTCTGCTGGTGGTGACTGTTAGTGTGGACCGGCCGAACCCAAATTGTAACTCACTCACATAGCCAGTATCGCGAATCTGACACAAGCACTCCAATTTGCAAAACGCATGTAATATTCATTTTCTGGAGAACCGTGCGACCCGCTAGCCACCGAAGTTCACAGGAGATGCCGCAAGAGCTCGCCGAAGACCGGCGAGGCAAGGGGACGTGAGGAGCGCAGGAAAGGCTTCGGCTGCCCCAGGTTTAGGGCTTCGGATAGGCCAAGATCTTCGCAGCTTCCCAGGAGTCCATAAGCAATCCTCACCCAGCCTCGGAGAGCCCCAAAACCGGGGGTTTGCCACGCGCCCGATGCCAAGACGATCAGCTCCTGCAAAGCAGCGGCTGTTTCACTGCGGCGAGTTGGACAAGATTGGGGCAGGGGGGGGGGGGGGGGGGCCTTCAGAGGGCGGAGACACCACGAGGGAAGTTAGAATTCAGCAGTCTGTCAAAAGGGGGTGCCCCTCTTTTTGGTAAAATGCCCGGCTGGACCCCTGAACCCTGAAGCCTGAACCTTAAATCTACGTAAGAACACGGACAAAACTCTCAGGGAGACAACAAATAGAGACCCTTGAGGAGTACGAACTGCGCGGGTCTCAGACACCAGAAATGTCCCTGATTGATTCTGTCGTTTTGCAACACCTACCATGTAAACCCATCAAATAACGACAGGAACCCAACTAATTCCCAACCTTCGCCCCCTATACAATCCTCCAAAGATTGCAATGGAAGCCGCCGCCCAATATACCCCGAAGCGAAGCTTCTACGATTTGATTTTCGGGGAGCAGACGACTCCTGGACTCTGTACCCGGCCATGAAGCCCTGAGCTCTCGAATCCCGAAGCCCTCGTAACAAGAGTCTATAGGGCACTGTACATAGCTCGAGATTCTTCGGAGTTCGGCCATGGGGTCCGCGCTGTGCGCCCCAGAAGAGCACACTTGCTGCATGCAGTCAACCGTGCATGAGTGCCGCTTTCCTCTCTGGGCTGTCAAGGCGGGTTTGCTTGAGTCGAGGGCTCTTGGGCTGTTTATTTCGGAACGAATTAGAACCGTTAGAAATAGCTACCGTTCGGGGGATACGCCGTGACGCAGGTGTCCGACTTCTTGAGAATGAGTGGCCCACCAGAACCTCACAACGTGTTGCAGGAGCAGCGCGTGCTCCACGAGTGGTACCCTGGCATGTTCGTGATCTTCATCTCGCACCAATGGTTGAGCTCTGCGCACCCAGACCCATCAGGACAACAGATGCAAGTTCTGCAGAAAACGCTCCGCGGTATGATCGACGGATCGTTGCAGGTGCACGAGGCTATCGTAGCTCGGTCGGCCGACAAAATCCTCTCAGAAAACACACGTCGGCACGTCGCCGACGGCTTCATCTTTTTCGACTGGTTTTCAATCCCCCAGATAACCGCCCGGCAACACGGTGTGAATGAGGAGGCCACCAAGAGCGATGCAGCCTTGGCTGTTCAGAGCATCCCGGCCTACGTGGAGCTTTCCAACCTCTTCGTAGCCCTGGTACCCGAGCTGATGCACAAAGACTCGTCAGAGCGGGTAAATTATGTCACGTGGCTGTCGCGAGGGTGGCCTGGCACGCATACAGTAGGAGACCTTTTTTTCCGTTGTGTTTTTTTTTCGTCCTTGTGCCCAGAAAGTGCTTTATAGTGGCATGTGCCTAGCAAGACAACCAGGTGGTGTCGCGCCGAGTTGTGGTGCCGGCTATTGTCAAACAAAGTCGACACTTCCGTGGTTGTTGTCTACACCCCTACCGAAGCCGAGTTTATGTTCCCCCTTGACTGGCAGCACCACAGCGTCGCGGAGGGCAACTTTACCGTGGAGGCCGATCGGTCAGAGGTCGTCCGACTTGGGGAGCTGGCTGTGGAAAGCAAGATCCGGCACTTGAGGGACAAAGGCCCTTTGAACCACTACCGCTTCTATTCTGCCCTGCGCCCCAAGCTCTTGAACCAGCAGAGAGAGGACAGGGATGCGGACAGCTTCCTTCGTCAGTTCCGTTTTGACAGCATCGCGCAAGCTGTGCAAGACACCAGCAACATGAACGCCGTCATGTGTGCTGCGCTCTCCGGTGACACGGGCATGCTTCGTCTGCTCGCCGAAAGGCGCGCAAACATGAACCACGTCCTCTACGACATGAACGACTTGGGAGACTATGTTATCGACCTTTCCAGCAAGGCCGTTTCTACTGTGTGGTTACAATCGTGCAGCTCTTTCATTTCTTGTAAGAGCAGTAGTTATGGTCCATTGGCAGCCAGCAGCCCAGGATATTACGACACGCAGACGGCGCTCATGGCAGCAACGAAGTCGCGGCAGGACCCTTCGGTGCTGGCAGCGATGATTGAGCTGCGTGCAGACGTCAACGCCCGTGCCAGAACAGGCCTTGTTGCCCTTTACATGTGTCGATCACCTGCGCATGTGAAGGTGCTGTTGGAGCACCGCGCGGACATGCCTCACTATGCACTGAGCGGTGCCGCTTCCTTCGGCGGCCCAGAGACAGTTCAAGCACTTCTATCTCACCGATGCGACCCGAATCAAACTGAAGAGAACAGATACAGCCCGCTACACGCGATTGCCTTGTTCTCACGCGGAAACTGCTGGGCCCTTGAGACCGCGAAGTTGCTGCTGGCGCAGCGCGCTGATGTCAATGTGAGAACAGTGCTCTGGCAAGCGGTTACCATCATCAAGCCTCAACCGAATTTGACCCCATCAGAAGCTGAAAACGCACAAGGGGGGCATCCCTCAGAGAAGCTTCAGTTTTAGCGCACAAAGCATCAGGATGCTTTCGCTGATGTTGCCCAACTCCAGCTTACTTGCTTACATCATCTACGAGCCTATGTGCGAGATGCCACCGAAATCCCCGACCCGAAGCCCAAGACCCCACAGAAGTCCATAGCAAGCACAACATAGTGTAAATAGGAATGCGATGTATTTACTTGCTCTTATGTATATATATATATATATGTATAACTACATATTATGTATATATATATATGAACAGAATAATGCACCAATATATCAATGTATGAATCTGTATGAGGAAGTATGCAATGCCCCTTGGCATTCTTTCCCAGGTGGTTTCCGGAAGCCTCTTGTGGAGGTGCCGGGGCGCCCAGGCCAAGACAGCCATCCTGGGCTTCGCCAACTGTCCCTCGGCTTTGTACCTCAATGCCTTGTGGCCCTTAGGGGTTAGGGTTTAGGGTTTAGGGCTAGGGTTTAGGGTTTAGGGTATTAGGGTTTAGGGTTTAGGGTTTAAGGGCCCCAAAAAAAGGGCCCCAAAAAAGGGAGCCCTACTACGCAACTTTCTGAAACCTTAAGAGCTCTTTTTTTGGTCTCGTCGAGTTCGGGGTGAGCTGGGGGCCCCGTGAAGCTGTACTCAGATGCAGAGCTGAGTAGGCAACATGATGACCCGGCTCGCGGCGTCCATGCCGGGCATTACCCCTTTGGGGTATGCGGCGATGGTAGGCGAAGCAGGGGGGGCTTTTAAACTGGAAAGCTTTTGGTTGCAGAGCACTTAAGCCCCATAAACCTGTGAAACCCTAAGCCCTGAACCCTAAACCCGAAACCCTAAACCCTAAGCCCTAAACCCGAAACCCCAAACCCTGAGGCCATGAGCAGCTGACGCAGCTTTACTTGGACCACGGGGCAGACTTTCTGGCAAATGCTCGCGGCGACTCGCCCGAGGATCTGGCTCGGAATGGCCACCACTACCATCTGATGCCCTTGCTGGCGACCTTTGCCACATAACGCTGATAGTCATTGCTGGGGCAGATTTGGACAGATTCTCTTAACTTCTGCGGTCCCCAAGCCCTGTATAGCGCAAGTGTTGTGCCTGCTAGGGCATGGCTACCCGACTGCTCGCGAACCCCAAGCCCAAAACCCCCAAACCCCAAACCTGCATGAACGGACGTGTGGCGAAAATCTTTCAGCTACAACGAAGTCCCCAGAGCCCGGCGCGGTCGCCAAAATGCTTGAAAAAGTATAGCTTGTGCCACGCGACGGTCTCTGCAACAGAGGAGTGCTTCTCGGTTTCATGCCGGTGGAGGAGTTCTTGGGCACTAGTCCCCTAAACCCTAAACCCTAAACCCTAATCCCTAAACCCTAAACCCTAAAGGTTCATGGTTAAAGTAGCCCCAAACCTTTCGGCATGCTACGCCCCTCTCCCACAACCCCACTGAGGAGAGAGAGGCGGGAACCTGGGTTCAGGGAGTCTTGGTCAGGAGTTCAGGGCTTTGTTTAGGGTTTAGGGTTTAGGGTTTTGGGCTTAGGGTGTAGGGCCGTACGCTTGTCATTTTTCTTGTTGCGCTCCCGGCGTTGGCTTGCAGACCGCGACGAGAGCTTCGAAGCACATGGAAGCGCCCCTGTAAGGAAAAAAAAACTACGACCCAACAAGATCTACGCCGGCCTAGGGATGCAGAGACTCCGATAGAATAGCTGCCACAAATGGCGGGATCTAGCGCAGAATATTCACGACCCTAGCGTAGACTATGCACGGCACCCAAAATACCCATATCTACTTACTTCGATCGGCCTCCCCCTAAACCAACCCCCCGTCCCAGAAGTCCCCCCCCCCCCCCCCCCCGCACCTGCGATCCCGGCCATGGCCACAGCCGGTCGGCCACGCCCAGTAGCACAGCACTCAGTCCAAGCGTTCAGGGGCGTGGTTGTCCTGCTCACTGCACTTGCAGAGTTTCTTTCTAGGGCATCTGCACACGGGGTGGAGATGCTCCAGTTGCTGAAGTTGCCGACGGCTATTGGCCACATACCATGACGCATGAAGCATGAGGCGCCGGGCATCCCTTGTTCGTTCCTCCAGCTCCGGCTCAAGCCTTAGGAGCACCTGAGGGCGTAGTGATTCGTGGAATTGCCATCATGCAGTGGCAACAGCAGTGGCCACAGCAGCCGCAGCAGATGCAGTGGGCAGGGGGTGGTCAGCAGTGGGGGGGACAGCAGCAGCCGTGGCAGATGCAACAGCAGTGGGGAGGAGGAAACCAGCAGATGCAGGCCACCAACGGTGGCCAGGGATCCCAAGACGGATACATCGTGTGCTGTGTTCCCGTTGGAATGATGGGCGGCAATATGCAACAGATGGGGGGCCAGGGCATGATGGGGATGCAGATGCAGGGCATGCAAGGCGGCATGCAGGGCATGCAGGGGGGCATGCAAGGCGTGCAGGGCATGCCCCAGGGCATGATGCCCATGCAGATGGGCCAGAATGGTGCAATGGGCATGATGATGGCGAACGGAGGGATGATGATGGGAATGGGCCAGAATGGCTACAACAGCTATGGCAATGGCTTCAACAACAATTTTGGCCAGCAATTCCAGGGAGGCAAGGGTAGTGGCAAGGCCCCCCGCATCGGCAACAGTGGGCCCGATAAAGACAGCAACTGGCGTTCCAGGCCTGTGGAGGGCACCAGCAAGGGAGAGAAGGGAGAGGAGCAAGCGATGTATCTTTCGCGCACCGACGTCACCACCTCGATGAAGAGGCGCAATGGAGAGACCGCTGTGGCCGCAAGCAGCGCGGACGTGTACGTGTCCCAGAAAGTCCCGGTCGAATCGAAGGTGCCGGCCAAGGAGCCCGCGCCGCAAACCGTGGAGAAAGCCGTCGAGGAGGACGAGAACGATGCCGAGGAAGAGGCCGAGGATGTCGAGGAGGAGGAGGAGGAGGAGGAGGCTGAAGCGGAGGCTGAAGCGGAGGCTGAAGCGGAGGCTGAAGCGGAAGAAGAGGAGGAGGAAGAAGAGGAGGAGGAAGAGGAGGAAGAGCAGCCAAAAGAGGAGATGCCCAAAGAGCAGCCCAAGGAACGGGCATGGGAGAGGGGATGTTCTTGCAGCTGTCATAGAGTAATTCAATGCCGCGAGTAGGGCTGTCATGTTTGGAAGACATCTTAAGTTCCCAACTCGTCCTTCACTCGGGGAGAGGAGCCGGCACTGTCGTCTTCCAGCACAGCCAAGGTTGCCGTTCGGCGCTCAGGGCTTTCTGGGGGCAGCAGGGATGTGAGGGGGGTTCAGTGGGGCTGAACCCTGAACCCGAAACCCTAGAAACCCTAACCCTAAACCTGGGGTTTGGGACGGGCCTCGCAGTGAGTGAGTCCCGGCTCCGAGAGTTGTGCGGATCTCCCGATTCCTTGCTTCACCGTCTTTGTGCGCGGGCTGGGGGTTTCTCCGCTTCCGGGTGCTATGTAGGGCCTGGCTTCGGCGGTTTAAGGGGACCTGGGATTGTTCATTGCAGCGCTGCAGCCCCAGGAGCCCCAGCCGGCAGAGGAAGAGAGCGAGAACGATGCCGAGGAGGAGGAGGAGGCGGAAGCCGAGGAGGAGGCTGACGAGGAGGAGGAGGCTGACGAGGAAGAGGAAGAGGAGGAGGAAGAGGAGGAAGAGCAGCCGAAGGAGACGGCCAAGGCAGGTCCCCAGTTGCACTTGCTCGTTCGTTTGTGCCTTCCTTCCTTCCCTTCCCTTTCCTTCTCTTCCTTTCCTTCCCTTCCCTTCCCTTTCCTTCCTTTCCTTGCTTCCTTCCCTCCCTTCCTTCCTTCCTTCGGGTTGTGTATATGTGTGTATATGTGTGTGTGTGTGTGTGTGTGTGTGTGTGTGTTTTACCTACTGCCGTTCTACCACTGCCCAAAGCCACCCTAGCCGCCTGAAAAAGCGATCTAAGTTTGTGGACTTTGAAGACAGCTTCCATGTTCACACCCAGGCTGCACACCGTTCCACATGTGTGCAGCTTTCTCGCGGCCCTTTTGCTTCTGTGTTGCTTCAGACAACAACTGACAGTAAAGAGCCACCATGAGAGTCTTTGAGCTCTTTGGTATTGGTTTGTGCGCTTCATGCGCTTCTTTTGCATCGATCTCAGTACAGAGAGATGGACAACTCAGGAAAAGCCACAATGCTTCTCGATTTTTTTGCTTGCTGTGCAACGTTTTGTGTGTTGTTCGTTCTTCAAGGCATACAAGGCGATGATCCCACCGGTTTAGCGCCATGGATGGGGCCGAGTCTGTTTGAAGGGGATCTGCCGTCCTCCCGCCCCCTCCGCCCTCTCAACCGTCCTAAACCCTAAACCCTAAACCCTAAACCCTGAACCCTAAACCCTAAACCCTAAACCCTAAACCCTAAACCCTAAACCCTAAACCCTAAACCCTAAACCCTAAACCCTAAACCCCGTTGTGAGCGATGTGGATGAATCTTAGAGCTCGGGACAGCGAGGAATCGGCGCTGTCGTCTTCCAGCACGGCCAAGGTGGTTCGGGGCTCAGGGGCAGCAGGGATGGGAGGGCTCTGTTTGGGGTTTAGGGTTTAGGGTTTAAGGTTTAGGATTTAGGGTTTAGGGTTTGGGGTTTAGGGGTACTCGTAGGGCTTTCGACTTCACCCTCCAAAGCTTCCCTAAGGAGGAGCCCAAGAAGGCAGAGGAGAGTGAGAACGAGGAGGAAGAGGAGGAGGCGGAAGAGGAGGAAGAGGAAGAGAAGGAAGAGGAGCCAAAGGTGACTCCAAAAGAGGAGCCAAAGCCCAAGGCACAGGGGTCCGGGACCCAAATTTATTCAAGGCTGCGACAATTCTAGGACTCTGCCGCCCCCCCGTGCGGAGAAGCGCTCCTATTAGATGAGCAGCAGCGTTCGTCTTAACCTGGGGAGCTCCTCATTCCGATCTCACTTTCCCCTCTTTCTGCTCTTGCCTTAAACCCGAAATCCTAAATCCTAAACCCTAAACCCTAATCCCTAAACCCTAAACCCTAAACCCTAATAGACCCTAAACCCTACTGTTACTGTGACTTCTGACTGTTTGCTACTGTTTGTGTAGTATTCGTGAGCAGGAAGCGCCCAAGCCTGGCACCATTGGCGTTTGGGGCTCAGGGGATCTCGGTTGCGGAGAGGGTTGAGGGTTTAGGGTTTAGGGTTTAGGGTTTAGGGGTGTAGGGGTTTAGGGTTTAGGATGGAATTTAGCATGATGGCCTCCAGAGCTGTGAAGAACTTCGTCCAGACCTCTTTGCTTTGGCGCCGCCGGAGTCTGGAGCAGACATGGCACCTCCAGCCTCCTGAAACCTGCATCGCCCCAAGCTCTGAACCATTCTCCTTGAGATCCTACAGCCCTGAACCCCAAAACCCTGAACCCCCCCCCCCCCCCCCCCCCCCCCCCAAAAAAAAAAGCCGGAACCCTCAACCGATGTTACTTCTTTGCAGCCCTGAGGGCTGAGGGACCGATACTCCCAACAGACGCCGAGAACTGCCATAATCATGGGCATTAGCAAGGTTTGTTGTTGCGACCACTGTTCGTATACGGTTAAGCTTAGTGGTAGTTCGATACAGGATAACCTCAACATTACGTTGCGACCTTCCGTTTCAAGTAGACTTGCAGAACGGCATTGGAAGTTCAATCATAGTACTTATAGTAATAGTAATACTCATAGCAATCATCGGAATCATCGGAATCATGGTAATCATGGTCGTCATAGTATAAGAAGAGTACGACGGTCAGAATAGTACGAATCTTGAGGGTAGCGAGAATAGAAAGAAAACATTCGTAGCATGTAACAACAGTCGAGCCCCCTAACCCGAAGCCCTAAACCCTAAACCCTAAGCCCTAAACCCTAACCCTACCCCTAAACCCTAAACCCTAAACCCTAAACCCCTAAACCCTGGGAACACCCCCACAAGGCGGCCCGAGCCGCCGCTGGCCCAGCCGCGGCCGCTGCCAAGCCCGCTGCAGCGCTGCCCCCGCACCCTGGCTGGTGTTTAGGGTTTAGGGTTTAGGGTTTAGGGTTTAGGGTTTAGGGTTTAGGGTTTAGGGCTTAGTGTTCGGGTTTAGGGTTTGGGGAGCCACCGAGGGCGACTGGTTGGGGGCGTCGAGGGTGCTGTGTTTAGGGTTCCAAGGGCTTCTAAGGGTTTCGGGGTTTGACGGGGTTTAAGGTTTGGGGCGTAGGGTTTTGACAGCGCTTTGTGGTGTTTAGGTTTTATAGTCCCCCGCTTATGGCTTCTGCAACGGGAAGAAACGGCCTCTTGTGTCAGGTGGCTGCAGTCGGGCCGCAGACGCCGCGGCTGAGAGTTCAAGTTGAAAAAATCAACTTCGGAATCTTCGGGTTTTGGGGTTTATGGCGCTTCAGGCTCGCAATGGCCGATTCAATCTTTTTCGTCCGCTAGTGTCATCTCTTGAAAAGCAATTTGCCTCCCACCAAATGACCCCACGCATCTGGATTTGCTTCGGAGAACGCGCAAACGCGCGCTTCAACCGCACAGCTTGCCTGTGACATGACAAGTGTCAAGTTGTTCTTGGACTTCGCAGAGTCTGAGTGCAAAGTGCTTGAGGAAGGGCATTATATTGCCGCGCCTTGCGCGTTTGCATTTTGATCCCAGGCAAGCGTGACAAGCACAGGCCCAAGACCGTGCAAACGAGGTTTCACCGTTAGATGCCCAGTCGAAGATGAGGTTTATCAACAATCCAGAGTCCTCAACTACCTTCACTTGCGGCTTTGTGTATTCGCCGTCGTATCAACAACACTTAGTGGCCCTAAAGGTTTGATAAACCCTCACCTCCAGTCACCGTTTGAATGGTTAAGGGCGACGAAGGCTCGGCAAGCAGCGGTGCAGTGAAAGTCACTGCGGAGAAGCAGAATAAGAAATCAGAAGCGATTCTACACCTTAAACTTAAACCACAATAATGACAGCACAGTAAAACTCAAGAAGACTCCACAAGGCCCCAGGAGGGACATCATAGAGGAGAAAACACCGCGGTGGAAACGCTTCTCGTCGTTTAGGGGTTAAGTCCAGGCTGTAGCATAGGTCAGGCATTGAAATACTTGCGGCATGCTGCCGAGCACAAAACGCTCACCATGACAGCTGTGTTTCTTCGCGACCGAGCCAGTGTGCAACATCAAGAAGGAGAAAACATCAGCAGCTTGGGATTCTCTACGTGGGGGGTTTACGAAAACACGGGGGGCCCCAAAAGGGATCCCCAAATAGTAGGATCCCGCTTCCTATAAGGACCCCAAGAAGGTGCCCCCGAATTTCGGAAACCCCCCCGGTGTGTTGTTGCAGCCCTCGTCGGAGAGGCCCTGCAGCGCAGCACGTTGCAGTCGCATCAAGCATCGTTCAGTGCAGTTACGCATTCCCCCAAGCTGCAGCAAAACACCTCCTGTCCCCCTAAACCCTAAACCCTAAACCCAAACCCCAAACCCCAAACCCCAAACCCTAAACCCTAAACCCTAAACCCTAAACCCTAAACCCTAAACCCTAAACCCTAAACCCTAAACCCTAAACCCTAAACCCTAAACCCTAAACCCTCACCTTGCTAGAAAGGCTTGAGCACATGATCTCTGGACATCCCGATGCACGGTGGGCCGGTGGAGCCCCTTGGGCAGATCGAAGGCTTCTTTTTTTGCCGCTCGCGGTGGGCTGTACATTGAAATGGACACCCCCCCTTGTTTTGTTTATGGGTTTGGGGTTTGGGGTTTAGGGTTTAGGGTTTCCGAAATTAGGGGTGCCTTATTGGGGTCCTTATTATAAAGGGAATCTTCGTCTTATTTTAGGGTCCCCTATGTTCGTAAACCCCCAAATGGACACCCCCCTTGTTTTGCTTACTGTTTAGGGCTTCGGGTTTACGGGACACCCAAGCAATGCGGGCTTTCGGGCTTTTGGGGCTTTCGAGACTTGAGGTGCGGATTCGGGGTCGCTCGGACGCTGGGCTTCGTGGTGGGCCCTCAAATCCACAGAAAGACCATTGCCCCTCCCCCGATTTCCTTTAAAGTCCTTTGGGGGTGCAACTCTGAATTCCTCTAAAGCGAGAGCGGGGTTCCTTGAATCTCGAGGTGAGGTCAGGGCCCAACACAACTTTGTCTCAGCTTTGTCCTACCCGACAGGGGGCCTGGCCTGCCTTTTATTCCCTAGGGTTCCTTTGATCCCAGGTTAGGTGTCCAAGCTCCAAAATCCCCGAACCCTCTGTGTAGGCATGTCCCAAAAAAGCCCCCCTCACCCCCCCCCCCCACCAAAAAAACCTCCTTGCAGGCAGCTCACGAGAGGGACCTTACCCCCTGCCATAAACGAGAACCCTCAGCCCATGGCGCCGAGTCAGCGGACGCAGCGGCGGGGCTGGTTGCATCTCCAGAACAGGCGGCCCCCCCCCCCCCACGTTTTCACCGCATTCTTGTCGCCCTTTCCATACACTGCCCTCATTCCTGAAGCATCCGCCGCAGCGCAGGCACCCGAACCCGGGTTCGTGGAGGCGGAGCCCTCGCCTCTGGTCGCCCGGAAGGCCACGGGTTTTGGTGGAGCCGTGGATCTCCTCGACCACTCCGGATTCAAGTCCCCACTGCGAGCCGCACCATCGATGTTAACCCGGGGCACAATCCCTGAACCCTAAACCTTGAACCCTGAACCCTAACCCTAAAGCCTAAACCAACGTGTGTTCCAGGCATCCAGGGCTTTGACTTCGAAACGCTTGGAAGAGCCAAACCGTGCGCAGGGTGTCCGCCTTCTGCTACTGGAGTTAGGCTTCGGTTCGGGGGTTTCGGGGTTGTAGCCCCCGCCCCTTTTGGGGTTCAGGGCTTAGGGTTCAGGGCCTAGATATTCGGGACATCCGGGCCCATGCTTACCTTAACTTCCAACCTAAGCCCTGAAGCTCCTTGCGCAGGTCTTGAAGCTCACCGACGAGGAGATCCTGACCTTGTACCGCTTTGCACAGGCGGAGGCGCGTTGAAGGGGAAACTCCTTCGGACGAACTCTGTGGTCGGACGCATGCAGGGCAGGGCTGACATCACTGCGTTTGCTGAGTGTATGTAGGGTTCCTTATGAAGACTGATGCTATGTTGTGTGTCTTGGGGATACTATAGCAACGAAAGCGCTGCTTCGATTCTGTGGGTGGCATTCTTAAGAGGGTTCTATGATCGGAGCTACCGGTGAGAGCCCTTTATGCGGATCCGTGAATGCTAGATATGGGACGTGGTTATCGTTGAGTGATTTCAGTAGATTCCGCCAGCCCTTAGGGTTTAGGGTTTAGGGTTTAGGGTTCACAGGATACCGGAGTTGTCGGGGCACCTGAAGCCGGCCAGGCCAAAACCCGACAAATCCCGCGAGAAACATCGAGAAACGGTGAGAAGAAGGGGCTGGAAGCGAAGAAGGGAAGAAAGGGTTTGGGGTCTAGGGGTTTAGGGTTTAGGGTTTAGGGTTTCGGGTTTCGGGTTTGGGGGATCCCGGCCAAGGAGATCATGCCCCGAAGGCTCCACTTGATTGAGGGGCCCCCTCCAGCAATCTCGCTGCGTCCTGAAGACTTTGGGGGCCTGAATAACAAGAACAGGTTTTTGGGGGGTAACTAACTTGCACAGCTTGCTGTATCCTGGTGACTATAGTCTACTTTTTTCAGGGACAAGGGAAAACTATTCGTAATTATTCCGACCCCCATCGTATGCCGCTCACCTTCACTTTCTGCGGACGGATGAGGCGCGAGGCAGGGGTATTCCTGCGGCCCTGCCTCCCAACAGCCGAAGCCCGCGAAATGCCCATCCCAGGAAGGAACCCCTGAACCCTGAACCCTAAACCCTAAACCCTAAACCCTAAACCCTAAACCCTAAACCCGAAACCCTAAACCCTAAACCCTAAACCTTATAGGTTTATAGACTCTAAAACCAGGAAGCAACTTTGCCAGGCAGCCCACGAGGCGGACTGGCGCGGCCTGCCACAGGCGAGTCTCCTCAAAATTGGGGGGTTTGCGATCATAAGGGTCCCCTAATCTAGGTTCTTTTTGGGAGCTTTTTTTTTTTGAATTTATATTTTTGTTTATATCAAACCCAAGAGGAAATTAAACATATAATTTCATTAAGGTTCTAAGGGGAGTATAGTAATTACGACCCCCCAAATATCGAGTCCTTGTTGTAAATAGGACCCAAAGAAGGTACCCCACCAAAGTCGTAGACCCTCAAAGCAAAGTTGGTGAGAATTGCTAAATCAGATTCGGACCCAGCGTAGTCCCTGATTCCCATCTTTCAGGAAAATTCAACAGTCATGGATACAAATATTAGTACGCAAGGGTAAGTCATCGTCATGAATATGAAGAAGTGGCAAAAATAGATGATAGTATATCTTGCAACCATGAACAAGAGTAACTGGAAACTAATGAACATGTTCTAGATGGATAATGGGAATTCAAACTACAATGACTGACACATATTATCGAACATGGCAACCGAGAGCGGCCAACCTTGGTTGTGGAAGTTTTCGAAGTTTAGTACATCCCTACCGCAGGTGATGTTGGCCCAACATCTTGAAAGTCGTCTTCGGAGTCCATGGAAAAAAGTGCCCTCGATCACTCACAACAATGCACGGGCTTGCTGTGCGATCATGACCAATTACCCAAGCCCTCGTTCAGGCCATCGGCCCAGTTCCGTGAATCCTTTTCGGGCTAGGGGGAACGCCCTATATCGTACGACACCCTGAAGCAGGGACCCGAAAGGTTACCTACCCTCTAACGGAGGTACATACCCTAAACCTTATTAACCCTAGAGCCCCAAGCCCTAAACCCCCGTAAGTTGGGAAGTGGCCCTCGGAACCCCCCAAAGCCGCATCAGGAGCTGTGCACACCCTGCCGACCGCGAGAGGCTAGGTCGAGAAGTCAGCATAAGCTTCGCAGCCCTTGAAGTGCACCCCTCCGCATCTTCGTACCACTTGTTGTTCTCTTGCTCCTGGGTTTAGGGTTTAGGGTTTAGGGGGTTTAGGGGGTTTAGGGGGTTTAGGGTTTAGGGCTTCGGTTTGGTAGGGTTTAGGGTTTAGGGTTTCGGGTTTAGGGCTTAGGGTTAAGGGTTTAGTAGGGTTAAGGGTTTAGGGTTTAGGGTTTAGGGTTTAGGGCTGAGGGTTAAGGGGGAAGGGTTTCGGGTTCAGGGTTTCGGGTTCGGATTCCCTTCTGAGTCCCCCGGCAGAGCTCACAGGGCCCGGCCCTGGGCACGGGAGCCGACTACCTGGAGCTCCTGAAGAAAGCCATGGAAGAGCCCGGGCCCCCCAGAAATTTCACGCAGAGGCTTTTTTTGTTGAGGCTTTTTTTTGGGGGGGGGGGGGGGGGTTAGGGTTTAGGGTTTCGGGTTTAGGGCTTAGGGCTTAGGGCTTCATGCAAAAGCCCTGAAGGGCCCCCTAAGGGCCTTTTTTAAGGCCCTTTAGGGCACCTCTTTTTGGGGCCCCCCCTTTTGGGCCCCCCCTATAAAAAGCTCTTAAATCCTGAGCTGTCCCGGGTGGCTCGAAAGCTTCTTTTGGGGCCTCTTTTGTGAGGGTTCTGGGCTCCCAAGGGCTGATAGAGTGAACCTTCTGAGCTCCTATCGTGTTCAGACTGAAAACCCTAAGCCCTAAACCCTAAACCCTAAGCCCCAATCCCTAAATCCTAAATCCAAAAGCCTTCCATCCAGCCCTCCCGAAGAACCCCAACGAACCCCAAAGAACCCCAAGAATTCCAAGAACCCTAAAGCTCTGAAGAACTGGAGGCCCGCACTCGCTCCCATCGCCCGGGCCGCGGCGCCCGAGGAGTCGGAGGAGGAGCGCGCCAGCGGGAGGGGGGGGAGGGGGAGGGGAGAGAGGGGGGGGGGGGGGGGGGAGGAGAGGAGAGGAGAGGGGAGAGAGGGGGCAGGAGCAGAGGGGGAGCTCCGGAGGGTGCTCTGTGAAGCGGTTTGGGTTCTTGGGGTTCTTGGGGTGTTCAGGGTTGCTCTTAGGGGCGGGGTTCTTGCTTGGGGCGAAGAGGCTGATGAGTAGCGCGTACCTCACACGATGTTCTCTCAAGAATCCGGGGAGGGGGAAGACGGAGAGCGTCCCTCGCGACTACGATTTCGGGACCGGTTTTATTTTATTTATCCCTCTCTCTATGTATACACACATACCATGCATACGTACATACATACATACATACCTACGTACATACATACATACATACATACATACATACATACATACATACATACATACATACATACATACATACATACATACATACATACATACACACATGTGTGCATACATATATACATATATATATATATATATGTGTATGAATATATGTATATGTATGAGATGTGGCCCCGCCCCATCATGCTTAGACTGTTGAATGCCCCCATCCTGCTAGGCCGAGTCCGCCGTCTGCTGCCAGCACCGGCCCCGGACCCTGAGAAGGGATCTCAGTTTGAGGGGTTTGGGGTGCGAGTTTGAGGGTCCTTTTTATGGGTTGCACATTCAGGATACTTCAATGGGTTCTTGAGTTGGGTTGCGTTTAGGGGTCTTGTTCTGGGTTTTCCGTCATTTTGGACGGTACAGTCTGAAGCAACTCAGCTTGCCAGAGATGCCCGGAGGATGGGGCTGGAAAGGAGCGTAGGGCTTCAGCACTTTGGGCCTTCCTTGCCGCAAGACCCACTTGAAACACCGCCAGAATGACAGTTTGGGCAAGCGAGGTGAGGGTAGAGTATGCGAGAGCCGGTTAGCTGCTTACTTTATCAGCCAGGCGTTGGGTCCGTTTAGGAAGTTCTCATGGAAGTTCTACTGTTCCGCTTGAAATGAGACCACACACACACACACATGGCAAGCCCTGAGCCAGGCCGCGAAAAGCCCCGGCCTCATCTACTCATTTCCTACAGTCGAAACTCCTGGAGAGCATGGACTTAGGATTCAAGGGCTATTCAGGAGTGCACAGGTTATTGGGAGTGCACGAGTGGGGAGAGGAGTGAAGTGTTACAACGTAGCGAAAAGCCTTTCTTCAATGGAGTCCTGGGTGAGTTTGGATGAAGTTCTCCCACTTGTGAAGGGCTTTACAGCATGCTGATGCTTTATGCAGCATGTGTGGGTGGGGAGTGGCATACGTGGGCACATAGATGTAGATCTGGTCAGCCGGACGCCCCACGCTTCGTAGTGTCGTAGACTCGTTTCAGTGAGCCTTGCCCAGGCCGTGCACCAAGTGCTGCCGGCATGACTTCTACTGGTCTGCGTTGTGTGAGTGTCGCATAGCGCCCTCGAGTTTCGCGCCGTGTGGAGCACAAACCTTTGTACTCTCAATGTGCGTCGGCGGATCGGACCCTTGTCGTGTCGCCTGGAGGCCCGGGTGGGGGGTCTTCCCTGTTCTGCCGCACGGCAGGTGATGCAGAGCGCGGCCTGCGATGAGACAGAGCCGTGCCCTAGGTCTTACAGGACGGAGGCCGTCACGCCCTTGTGACCGTGACAGATAGTCTACCGAAGGTCCTAGATCATGCACTCAAACCTACTTTGCTCAGCCAGGCAAACTCACCACCCTTCCACCCACCGACCCCCCTGTCTAACGTTGCACCACAACGCCTCTGCCTCTGTTCAATACACCGGTTTCACAATCGTAGGCTGACGAAGCAGGACGGCCAAAGGGCGTCAGACACGTCAGGGAAAGGCAGACAGTGCCCAGCTTGGAGTGAAAAAGGAAGCAACTTCATGGGGTTCAAGGTCTTGCTGTTGTGCAGCTGCAGTTGGCACACATGTTGATACATGTTGAGGGCAGCCAGAGCCCAGGAAGCGTCTGTCAAGCGGCTGCATTGAAGTCGCTTCCACGAGGACGAGCAGCAGACCGTTGCGCGCGAACACTTTCCGATCTTATACTGAGAACATCAGACGCAGAGTCGCGGAGTTCAGCTTTTGGACTCTTGGACTCTTGGATTCTTGGGAGCCGAAACCTGCGAAACTCAGAGCAGTCGGGCGGCACGTGCAGCGATTTGATCGTGGCCGTAGGTGCAAAAGACATCAAAGAGTCAACCAGAAAACCAGCCGTCCTGACGCAGTCGGCGCAATGATACTCTGTGAAGGAGGCCATGGCTCTGACATTCTGAGGAATGCCCAGGGGCTCACAGACCACAGCATCGGCAGCCATAAGGCCATGTGGCTTGCGACCCTGCTTGCACACGGTGGCGGTGGCGATGAAGCCTTTGACTTCGAAGCCTCACCGACAGCCACCGCGGTAAGAGCACGTGGAAGATCGAGGCTTCGAAAAGGTGCGGCATCCTGCCTTTGCGTCTCCGGTGCCAAGCCAGCGCTGACGGGAAGCTTTGCTGCCACACTTCAGCTGCATGGAAGCATGGTCTTCGGCGAAGTCTGAGGCGAAAAGGCAGTTTACGGCCTGCCAACGACAGAACAAAAACTCGCTTGAGCTGGGTGCCCGCGATCTTCGGACCAGCAGCACACGGAAAATCGAGGCCGAAGTGCCGCCTGGCGTGCTTGTGGTGACGGAACCTGCGGGCCTGCGGGGAGCTGGAGTTGAAAAGGAAGAGTAGCAGAAGCTTGCGTGGCATTTACTTACCACTTGCCTGGCTCATGACTGCTTGTCATGAGGAAGCTTCGCGATCTCAGTGCGGCAGCTGCCGTCGCCATGGAACTGTATAGACACGAGCGGTCGCAGTCGGTTTCAAAGAAGCTGCACACTTCGCTTTGCTCCGCCTATCAACCGACATTAAACCGACATTAGAATTGATGCCAAAAATCCTCCTTCCTTGGGGGTCGCTGGTGCTGCAGGGCGGGTTCGGGAGGGAAAGTATGATCCCCCCCCGCTTTACTCCGGCCAACGGCGCAAGCGGCAGCACGTCTGGGAGTCCCGACCTGGGGACCACGTCGGCAGAAGGCGGTGTGGCACGGCCATTGCCCACAGCCGCGTGCTTCGCAGCATGTAATCGCGACCAACTCGTCCACGCTGCGAGCTGTCTTGATTCGAAGCTTGTTTGAACTGGTCGATGTCCTCATTCGAGAATGTCGCAGGCACGCTGCGCGCCTTTGAAGTCCCCCACGTCGCCAGAAGTGAGCAGTCCCAGGTACAGAAAGCTGACGTAGATGCCGCAACAGCGCCTCGCCAGCATGTTCCCCACCCCGTCCAAACAGAGTATGCACGGTAGTCACGTCGCAGGCCGCCGTTGTGGTGGCAGCCTGGCCATGGACTGGAAGGATTTCAGCAGGGCCCGGCACGTTGCCAGCCAAAAGACCTTACGCCATTAAGCTGCGAGCCATTTCTTGCGTTCCCGATAAGCAGCACGCGCAGCGTCACAGTCCTGGATTTCCTGTAGAATCGCCATCATCCGGTCGCGGACCGCAGCGTCTCGCCTGCATCAGAGGAAACGGCACGCTTGTGACTCATCGGCTGCAGTCTGCGCACGCAGTGTCGCGCGTGCTGGTCACAGCTCTGTAGCAGTCCAGAGCAAAATTACATGACAACGCTTGTGCATCGCCTCTGTTTGGGGCATGCGGGGCTGCAGCATGGAGAATTGTTTGCTGATCTATATTTACCCATCCGCAAAGTTTCAGCTGCATGTGAGTGTGTGTGTGTGTGTGTGTGTGTCTGATTAGTCTGACCTTCGCGAACAATTATGGTGTCTCTGCCGTTGCCTCAGTTCGCATGTTCAATCATGTTCAATCCTTGAAATGACACATTTTGAGTTACCACAGTTCCAGTGTTCAGTGGCGCGTTTATTCGCGTTTGGCGCCATTTTTCTGGCAGCAATCGCATGTTTGCATTTGGTGTCGCTTGTGTTGCCAAAGTTCGTGTGTGCAACCCAAAAAGTGGCACGTTCCGAGTTGCTGTTGCTTTACCCGCACATCATGTTCGACCCATCGAGTGGCACGTTGTGTGTTGATGCTGTTGCCACATCCGTATCCTGGGGCGCTTACCACATGCGCATGTTCAATCATCGCTCCCGTGGCGCTTGCCACATTCGTATGTGCAATCCTTGGAAAGCTTGCGCGCACCCTGTGCATGCTACGAACACATGAGCCGGCGTTTACACCTGGTACTTCATGCGTTGGTTCGATCTGGTGAGACTTGCTCAGTTGTTCAGCATTGTGTTACGCGCGGCCACGCACGGGGCTTTACTAGAACGGGCGGAGTTACAACCACTGCAGCACGACTGCAGGCGTACGGCAGGCAGTTCTATGCAACGCAGTGTCTGTGCATGTGGATCGACGCCCAGGGGCACAAGCAGACATTTTGCAAGGTGACGGCGGCGAACAAGGGGATCCATTGATGCCCGGCCTTTATTCCTTTGCAGGGCACCAGGCTTTGCGCACGGTCCAGGGGCGCGCCTCCGTGATGGTGAAGCTGTGTTCGCGTACCTTGATGACATTTTCGTCGTCGCGCTGCCTGAACGAATCCGGGAGTTGTACTATGCGGACCACCCAAAGCAATAATTTGGAATGCTGCCGGTGAGGAGCCTGCCAATGGGTTGGAGATTGGACTCGCGAGCAGCAAGGGTTCACCCTGTTGGGGACGCTGTTCGGCTCCGCACCATTCATCTCACAATATTTCACATTAGCTTCGCACCCAGCGGGGCTTGCTCAAGGCCATACTTGGCATCGAGGATCGACAGGCGGCATGGTTGCTTCCGCGCTATTGCGCTGCACCGCGCGCATCCGCGCGCCAGCCACGATGAGGCCGTAGCATGTCCAACCGATCTTCTTTGGCCTTGCGGGCCACCCACTGCCCGAGGGGCCCATGCGAGCTGTCGGCCTGCGATGCAGCACGCAGGGCGTCCTGGTGCGACACGCTCCCCGCGCAGCAGGCAGCCACCGGCCGCTGCTGCTCGCATGGTGCCAGCCTTGCAAGGCCCGGACCAAATGCTTTCCCATCACCGTCGCACAACAAACAGCAACTTACCTCCGGGGTCAAGGCTGCGCTGCGCCACCGTGGAATGCGTTCCCAGATGCCCGGCCGTCCGCATAGACGAAGCTCGTGACCACTTGCGAGACACTGCCCGCCACCCATGCCTGCAACGAGCGCGCTCGAGACATTTTGCAAACCTTTCACCTGCGTCCCAAGCGCTGATACTCTCGCAGCCAGGCCCGCCTGCCAGCCGCTGCAACTGTGTCATGCTGACACATGCGGATGTCACGATTACCAGGACCTCTGCCGAGTGCTGCCTTTGGGCCGCATTTGCTTGCTACTCCCGCCGCTCGCGCACTTGCAGCTGCCGGGGGCACCTCGAGGCCCTGGGAGACGGATAGCAGAAATGAATTAGTAGTAATCATGGCATTATTGGCTTGCGGGGCCAGTGATGTCGTTGGGATGTTGCGCAGCCGGACACTTTCCATGAGATCATGTGGATGTTGGAAGGCTTCGTTGATATCATAATCGGAGGTCCCCCATGTTCTACTGTTTCCCGGGCCAGACACACGCGTGAACGGGGAAGTGACATTTTTTTCTACCCGAGGCCGCTGCGCCTTCGGTGCTGCCCTTGGGGTCGTTCTGGCCTCCCATGGGCAGGCGCCTGTAACAGGGCGAAACCAAATCCGTCGCGCAAACGGTCTCCTGCAAGCCTTTGGGCAACACATCCCACACGAGCGCAGCAACAATCGGAGGCGTAGCTAAGTACGGACTCATCCATGCCGGTACTGCGACTTGCGTGAACGCATTGGACTGGTCACACGTTGCGAGCTCCAGCGTCGCTACAGAAACAATTAAGCGCCCCTGCCCCTTGCATCCCTAGGCGGAACGATGCCGCGGCCAGTAAAAAGGGCGAGAAGGAGCAACACATCAAAAGCTTGCGTTGAGAGATACCATTTTTTTGGAACCACCGAAAAACCAGCGACTGCCTTGACATCACGGAAGAGCCTCCACTCCCACATGCTGGCAGGAACATCCTGGCGGTGAAAGTAGCCTACATATTCGTCCACGCAACCGCCTACAAACGCATATTGCTGCTCCAGTTCGTGTTTTTTTTTTTTTTTTTTTTTCTCGCGCCTTTTTGCGTCCGCCGCAGTCAGGGTCGGGACGGTCGATTCCATGGGTCCCTTTCGAGGGCCCGGGGAAGGGACCTAGGCCCGGCTCGGCAGACGGCTTGGTGCCGGGACCTCGCTCTCGTTCCAGCGGGCGTCAGCCAGGAGCTCGTGCAAAGTTGGGGGTGTGCCAGCAGCACAGGGCTCAGACGGGACGGGGAGCTCGAGGAAGGTAGCCGCAAGCGCGCTTTGCGCAGCGACGGAAATGATGCCACTCCACCGGAGGACCCAAGCAGTCTGGGCAGAAGCCCTCAACGCGGCGGGGGTGCCGGCCGCCCGCGCACGAGCAAGGAGGCGCACGAAGGTGCCAGCTTCAGAGTCCCATCGCCCCCCGACTTCAAGCCCGAAAACGACGAGCCGGCACCGCCGACTGCGGTCAAGTTCGGGATAAGTTTGCCGCCGCTTGCGGCGCGCAGCGTTGCGCAAGGCACTGCCAGGGTG